CTCTCTCTCTCTCTCTCTCTCTCTCTCTCTCTCTCTCTCTCTCTCTCTCTCTCTGTGCAAGGAAGATGAGCAATACCGAACTTCAGCAATCAAACAGCATCATACACATAAGACCAGATAGTCGTGACCTCGAACCAATAGCAGAATTGCATCATGAGTTTCACCAAATAAGAGCACACCAGAAGCTCATAATTGACAATGCTGGAATAGTCTCATCTTCATCCTCAACGAAGAACCAATGTTGATATCCTATCTGGCGCTCGGCGCCCAGACTACAGATGGCAGATTCTATCTAGCCTATACTACAATGCCGAAGATGACGTCAACAGCTCTTCCGAAGTACGAGCAGATAGCGGCCAATGCCGCACGCTTCCAGCACCAGGTATGTCTCTCGCATCACTCACAACCCAATTCCCCAACACACAGATGCCACATGCACCCAAGGACCACCCTGCGCCACACCCAGCTTACAGCAGCACAGCTCGGCTATGGCTGCCTGCTCCTTCCAGCTCGCCCGTAAGCGCGTGAGCGCTGGCCAGCTTCAGCGCAACAGCGCTTGCGCAGCATGCAGCCAGCACCCGAATGTTCAATGCGGAGGCCGGCCCTTTGCTATATGGAAGTGGCCTGCCTGCTGCTGCGCTGGGCCTGTAGGCTGAGGCCCAGTCCAAAAGAATCAGGCCCAGGGCCTGTGGGGGTTACATGTGCCCAACTGTCCTCGGCCTGTGTTTGGCCCATATCCCGTATCGAGCCCAGGGCCTGTGTTCCATACATGCAAACAGGTGGCCTGGGCCTGGGTGCTCTTCAACCAACTGGCGCTGCGCAACTGCCTGAATTTTCCACAGTGAAACGGTAATCACCAGTTCGCAGTAGCGAATGCAGATCCCAGGGCTCGATCCCTAGTTCCCTATCTTACCTGTGTACAGTATTGATGTCAACCCGTAGACTTGAACCCGCGACCTGTAGGATCGCCAGTGGTAGACAGGGTTTCGTAGGTCACAGGGTAGAAGGGAATCGAACTGTAGACCTATGGATTAGGAGTCTAGACAGTTCCGAAGTGGTAGCTGTAGGCTGCTTGAGGAGTCAAGGTCGTAGCTGCTACTTACCTGAAAGGGCAAAGTCGTAGCTGCTACAGTACCGAAGGGCCAACGTAGAGGTTTCTAGAACTGGCCTTTCGGAGTTGGCCTGTGTTCAGCAGAGGCAAGTGGTCAAGTGGTGGTAGTCCACCTGGCCCAGTCAGCAGTCCCAGGCAGCCCAGTCCGGTCCAGTCAAGCAAGTACGTCTGGGACTGTGCACATCATGGGCCAAGGGGTAGAGGGCAGACCAACGCAGCGCAGAAGTATAAATCAAGAGGCTGCGTCCAGCCATTCATTCATTCAGGCGGAAGCCATGCGGTAGCGCTGCCACAGCGTCTAGTGCAAGGAGGTCCTGGAGGCCCGAAGACGAAGGGGGCAAGAGTGAAGCACTGTAGTCATAGCGATAGGTAGTGGCAGCCATAGCTCCCATAGCTCAGTGTAGAGTGCAGAGTGTGTGTACTGCCCAGGCAAGGACCAAGGGAAATGCGTTTTACCATAAGGGCTGTTGCGGTTCACCTTGGGGCCGCCCAGGCAAGGACCAAGGGAAGGTCCCTGCCAAAAAAAAAAGAACCTAAAATGATAGTCAAATCCCCAAAAAAATTGAAAAAAACATGTTGTGATTCATGGCTACGCCAGCCCCGGACCGGATATCAGACCTGACCTCTGTCTGGATGGCTCCAGACCGTCTGGATTGACCCCACTCCCGCCCCCCCCCCCCAAAAAAAAAAAAAAAAAAGTCGTTTTTATTTTTTTATCGTCGTTTTTGGCTTTGATTTTCTAGATGATCCGCAGCGAAAAGATTTTTGTATTGCATGCTGCATAAGCCGCGCCTCTTTCATACTTGCGGCGCATCCCATGCGTGGGGGTGCCGCAAGTGCGGCGCAGAGCGCACACGCATGCATGCTCGCGCACGTGATGCGGCGCATCA